GGTTCCGGGAACGATGGATAGAGGTTTCACTGTATATATATATATATATATATATATATATCCTTTTTATTCCTAAGTGAAGCATAGGGCCTCATAATTTTAATTTAATAACTCATAAAATTATTAGTAGCTTTGGTATTAAAATCCAGAAGTATTGAAGTATGGAACTCCCCACTGTTCTTTTGCTATCTGCAAATTTATTGACGTGGCTCTTTGTCTGAATAATATGAATCCCAAAATATGGTGGCAGATGTATAGAGGAGTTTTATCCATTTTTTGTTCTTTCTGCTGACCGTATCCATTTGAAAGTTTGTTTATTTTTAATATTTGACCTATAAAATGGAACTTTAAAATAGAGGTGTTTTGATACAAAATTGTCATATAGTCATTAGGGTTTTTTCTTTCATAAAGTTGCTTGTGTTGTAGCCCAAGACCGGGAAAGGCAACATGTTCGAGGAGAGGCCCAACCTTTATATGGGATGTTACATGAGGCAGAAGCTTTCAACTCTGTTACTCAAGGAGCAGACGGTGTACGAATGTCTGACATGGGAAGCTGCTCTGGAGTGGTGAGTACTGAAATACTCCTGTAATTGATACACTTCTCTGGAACTCTTTAGGTTGAATGTTAACTTTTTTTAAAGTTCCTCTAAACCTTCATGTATCATGATGGTATCGTAATGTAGGCTACAGATGCCAGGACAGTATCTTAAATCGGATCATCAATGCTCCCATCTATATTCTTTCCAATTCATTAATTACTCTGAGCTACTTACAATATCACTAAAGAAAGTACAATTACATAAATATTGATAGAAAGGAAGTACAATACTTACCTAATCCTGGCACTGCATAGAGGAAATGTTGCAGAATCTTCCAAACCACATTTAAGTTCTATTTTTAAGAAGCAGGAGTAACAGTTGGATCATATCAGTAAACATAATACAGAACATACTGATTAGAATATTCAATAATAGCATTGGCATGTTGTCTGTGTGGGGTTTAGTAGCACTATTTTATTCTATCCAATGGGTACTGGGGTCCTTTCCTGGGGGTAAAGCCGGCCAGGGCGTGATGCTGACCACTCACCCCCATCTAGTGCCGAGGTCAAGAATGAGTAGGAGCTATACCTCCACTCCCCCCCAAGCGCCTACATGGCGTATAGTGGGACAGCTTTACTTTTACTTTACTTTACTTTTACTTTACTTTACTTTTATTATATGACAGGATAATAGAAATTACGAGAAAAATTAGGAAGTTGGGTTTAAAAAGGCTGTAATGCTGTATTTTATTAGCATTTTGTATGTATGACTTAGAAGCAATTGTCACTTTTCAGTAAAAATGCCTGTCACTGAAGAATAATGTTACAGTTATGTTTGACTGCCTGACTTTAAGGGCATTCCATTTGCTGTTATATCTAGTTTCCAACTTCTGCAACACAAATGGATTATGGGTTGCCTCTTCTGTGTGGAATCTGTCATCAAGTGTCATCACACTTAACAGGTCACATGCTGTCAGCGCACCCAGGCTGTGGCTTACTTTCAGGAGCAGGCTACTGTGGTAACATTCTTGGTTAGTTCCTAATATTCACTTTGAATCTGTATTGTTACAAGAAAGGAGACACTGCTACCATCCCATAGCATCTGCTGTCATGTTGGTGGTTCAGTTTTCATTGCTGGATAGGATGAGATAATGTCCATCCCTCTATATCATTGCATTTAGTCCGTAGAACACTTATCTGCTATTACTGAAAGTACAGCATTTCTCTCTTCTTTGTTAATCTGGAGGTAATCTCACCATGAATAAAGCCAGATATAAAATATGTTATTATATATTAGTTTGCATAAAGCCATGCTAATGCGAGTTATGTGAAAGAAGACTTCACCTCTTGCAACAAAATAAAATGAGAAGCAGAGACATGTTATTGTTGCACTGATATGAGCCAGTCTAATCCAGTTTCCAGCTTTACACCATATTTCTTTAAGTTCCAATTTTGTACCGTCACATATACTCCTGTGTCTCTATGGCTTCTACCCGTGAGAATTTATATTTAAAATATATCATTCCTATTACCCTATGTTTACTATATGCACTGCCCATTTTATCCTCATTTACTTAGTCACATAACAATATTAAAAGAATCTTAAAAATTAATGATTTTTCTATGTTGTGTTATAGGAACAAATTACCTGATGTGCAGTGAATGCCAAGACAAATACAGAATGCAGTTTCAGTGTTTTTCAAAGGTTCCTGATTTGAAATCAGCAGCTCCACCTGGTTGTGGTGGTAATGCCAGTGTGGGTGGCAATGTATTGCCCAGCAATCTGGCTCAGTTGTTGGCACCTGATCTTATGGGCAGCAGTTTTGCACATGATGAAGGTTCTTATTCTTGTGATTGTCCTTATTGAGCTACTGTTTATTCATGTGAGGATAAGGTTTCCAGATTTTGAAAGTAAACAAAAAAACAACAAGGCAGTCACTTGTGAACATTGAACCCAAGATATTATTTTTTCATTCTCCTGTTTACATTAATTTTAACAGTTTTTTAAAGTAAACACAGCACAGAGAAATTTACAATTTTACATGGACAGTGGGTCCATTTACAAAAGCAGGAGAAATCATCTGATTTAAGAAAGGAATATTTGGCCACCCTGAAGTAGCATGTTTTACTTTTTTGTGGCCAGATATCACTGTGACCCTGTGTGTAAGATGGGCTATCTGTGCTTTTCTAAATGATCTTCAGTCCTTTCATTCTGATTCTGAGGTAACATTTGCCATTAGTAGTTTCCTAGAAAAAATTTTCTTGATCGTCCTAAACTACTAGAATATATTGACATGATAAGAAAGTTTGATATGTCAGTTTACCATGTCCTTGCAGAACTGCTGATTCTTAATACATTGTGCTCTTCCACAGAGTGGAATTGTTCCATTGGTGGCAGTGAAAGAGCTGACTCTAAATTCCATGAAATATCCGTTATTAATTTACAATTCATACCCATTGTTTCCATTACATTAACTTTTTATAAACTTGCATTTTTTCCCGGTTTGACAGATTTCCAATGATTTGTTAATGTGTGGAGATTACAGTTCACTCATGTTGTTTCTTTTATATTTGCTACATTCTCACATCTGACTTTGTGTTATGTACAAAATTAGTTATGGGATCAGAAGCTTGTTTTTAATTGAGAATTTGCTGTATAATATACTTTTTTAAAATGTGGGTTTTTATTTTAATTGAAGTATTCTTCACCTTGTGTAAATTTGATTCGAAACAAAATATTGAGATGGTTACTTGCATGTATTTGCAGAAGTTGATATACTCTGTATGCAGACCGAGAACCAGTCAACTCCATTGTTTGATAACTTCTCTAAATTAGCACCATACCTTGGATTGGGAGAAAGGATTACTGCACCTGAACCTCTTCTACTGAAAGAACCAGACCCACTTGGAGCAAGCACTGTGCCAAGTGTCACACTGGAAACTACTACTTCTGGCCAAGCAGGTAAACAGAATGGCTGTGAGATTTAGTGCATGCATGTAGGAAGAAGTGAAATTTGAAATAAGAAATCTGTACAAGAAAATATTTAATCAGTTGTTGGACACAGCTGTGAATGTGCTGTTTATCACACAGTTCATAATTGATCATGCATAATGATCGTTTCATCTCAGTCTTCACTGAATAACACTAGAGTTGATGAAGTGTCATTAACCCTTCACCGTGGTTGGACGTCTTGTGACACCCTGGCATTTAAATTCCCGGTCTGCTGTTAAGCCTAATTTCAAAAGCCCATAATTATGGAAACAATAACGACTGATATATGATGTTTGTAGTTGATCTGGTGTGGAAGAAATGCTCTTTCTGATCATGTATTGGCAACGTCACATTCTTCGATCTCTAAAGGCTAGTCTGTGAATAAATGCGTGACCTAAGAGGTTA